CATAAATAACTACATTTCGGACTATTTTGGCGTTACCCAGGATGCACCGCGTGGAGGCATAGTCCTCTTGGAATTCCTCTAGTAAAGTAAAAAAAAATGTTTAAATAAAAAAATAAAAAAGAGGGATGCCAAGCGGACTATGCCCCCACGTCATGCATCTTGGGTAACGCCAAAATAGTCCGAAATGTAGTTATTTATGTTAAAACACTGAGTGCGAACGTGGCGTAGCAGGCAGCGTACGAGACTACTATGCCAGAGATCCCGGGTTCTCGATCCCGGGCAGAACCAAAAAATGTTTTCAAGCGCTCGTAGCTCCTCTCGGAAGGCAATGGCTGCGTTCAGCAGAGAAAGCATCTTTGCAACTGTTGTAAAATTCTTCAATATGACTGGTCTTGCTCTTAATTCCTCATTGGATCTAAATGTATAAACCAATCATATTCAAGAATTTTACAACAGTTGCAAAGCTGACTTTCTGCTGACCGCAGCCAATGGCAAACCACCGAGAGTATCCTTGCCAAGAACACTTCTCTAATAAATCGTTGTTCCGAATTGTCGTTAAACTGTAGGTCCCATATGACTGTGTACAATCAGCGTGCGCACCACAGGCATGTGAGAGAAGTCACCACGCTCGGCCACGAGCAATAGGACTAAGGAGATGTTAAAACGCTATGAATAAATTATGATTGTGATTATGAAAAATAAATAAAAATTTTTTTAACATAAAAGTGATTATAACTTGGAAACAACTTATTTCCGGACCTATGTTCATATAGCATTTTATTCTTTCTTTTTGAGTCCCGAATCACTTCCCGAAGTATTACGGACGATTTTCTGGAGACTCTGATGTATACAAGTTGTTTTCGATATGGGGAATATAAAGTGCGCATGGTGTAATTTCGAGAGATAAAAAACCTTTTTTTAATGGCAGAACTTATCGACTGGAATTTATTCTACCGTAAGCAAGAAACACGTTAGATCAACATTTTTATATATTGATTTTATGTGAATTTCATTAATTTTCATCTAATAGTTTATAAATGTGATTATAATATTATCTAATCATTTAATATTTACAAACCTTTAAGAAATGTTTTAATAATATAAAAATTTATACACACACACACACATATACATATACATAAATTTTGTAATTAACACAGAACGTTGCATTATTAAATGTTGATGTATGAATGTTTTTTGAAAATCTTTGTCTTATCATCCCTGAATCACATGAAAAAAGTTTTACACTTTTCAAAAAAGATAATGATTCGGTCTGTAAAAATAGGGGGTATATTTTTTGTGTTAAATGTAACTATTCAATAAAATAAAATTTTTATACAACATAACTTTATTGACTTATTAATATAACTTAGTAAATATAAAATGTTAATTAGTGACTAGAATTTTTTAATTTTAACTTAAAAGTCAAATTAAAGGAACAAAATAAAAGTTATATATTGTGAATACAATGTATATACAAGTACGTTTCTGCAACAAATGTGCGTAAGAGATCATTAGCGAAGAGGACCCTAAAGTCGTCTGTTTATCGATTAATTGCAATAATGTTTGTAGACTGATATTGCATATATTATTTTTACAGATATGGAAATTCTTTTTAGAATCAAAGTATAGGATATGGAAATTCTTTTCAGAATCGAAGTATAGAACGCAATAATACTAGTCTAGTATGGAATTTATGTCATGAACGACTAAAATTTTTTTAATTGGAGTTTTTTTATCATTTCATAGTTCAATTCATATTGGTTATCATCTAGAACTATCAAGTTGTAACAACATTTGCTTAACGTATATAAGCTCTGCAATCTGTACTTACAAAGTTGAAAGTTAACTAGTAGAATATACGAAAAAATATCGAGTTCTTAGAATTATATTTATACATCCAATTCTATACCGTTTTACGAAAATTTATGTGTGCGTAACATATCGATATAGCAGTGTGTAGTGATGTGTCGATGACACGTAGCTCGTATGTGTGTAATTCTTATTGAATCGGTAAAACAAGAATTCGGGGTTTAGTATCCATTTTTAGGATCTCCCTAAAGTTCGTATCATACTACCGACTTTGCAGGCCTGTTCGACTGCCTACTCTTACTGTCGATCCACGGTGAACCAGTCAGTCAATCTCGTTAATTGTAATTAGATCATTATAGGCGGTAGTCAGCTAAAGTTGGCAGTCGAGTTTGCCTGCAGTCGAGTTGGCATCGGTTTGATACAGGCTTAAAATTCTTTAGCAAATCTCTGTTATCTTTACAAAATCTATGTGTATATGTGTATATATAATATATATATTTATATTAATGTATATAAATAAAAAATTTCGTATTTGGCCTGGTTTCATATTTCAGTTTCATATTTCAGTTTTTTCTCTTCCTTGTAATAAAATTGTAAAACTATAAACAATCAAATTGTTTGAAATTAATAAAATTATATTGAATTAGTAATTTTTTAATGGAGTCAACAGTTTATTTCTGTCCTCAATCCAAGGAGTACTCATGAGGCTGAAGCTTTCCATATTGTCATTAGGTGTGTGTATTGGAATTGCAAAAAAGAAAGAACGTACATATCTTCAAAATCTTTGGAACTAGAAATCTGTGTTTATTCACATTTTTAAAATAATCTGTATATTTGTTCGATGACATTTTCCTTGACAATTCTGATATTTGTTTGATATCATATTAACAATTATCCAGCAAAAAATTAAGCTGTTATTTATTATTATAGTGACGTCCAAATGACGTCCTAAACGTCAAAATGCCGTTAAGATAATATTGATTGAATTTCTCGTATAATATTAGAATTATCATCTATAAACAATGATTTTCACCTTCTTCTATGATATTTTCTCACTTAAGACATCATTTTACATGATATCAATTTTTCGTCATATTGAATTATTTCTTTGACGCCATGACGACAAACGACGGTTTTGATGTCATATTGACATCACTTTGACTGAGTCGTTTTCACTGGGTTATTATATAGTAAAGAAACATTCAAACGAATTTTGAACCTTTCATAAGCAGTTTCCAGGGTTGGGTAAGTTAATGTTTTTTTTAAACTATATTAAGTTAAGGTTAATGGCTTATAAAATTATTAAAATTAAGTTAAAAGTTGAAGGAATAAAGAATTAACTTAATAAAAGTTAAGTTAAGATTGAATTAACTTATGTTTAAAAAAAAGTTAATTTTGAAAAAAATTATTTTTGAGATCAGAATGTTCTAATTTTTCTTAAAATGAAATTACTTTAAATAACACTTACAAATATAGATTATTAGGAAAATTTAATTTTATAGTCACGTATAAGTTACTTATACATATATATAATAAGAGTTACTCCATATAAGGCGTTTTTGTCAAAATCTTGCGAGAGAGAAGGATATATGTTTGCGTTATTTCTCTTTCTTTAACCTGTATTTAACTTTCTTTAACTTCTGGAACGATTGCTCATGCATGTTTATGACATCGACTAGATATTTGTTACAAAAAATATACGTAAAAATTTAGAAAATGAGTGGATATGCATACTATTCTACAATAATTCTTCATCTAAGGCTTATTTCATATTTATATTGCTGAAATATAACGTTTATGATATTTAAAATTATAAGTGTGATTTAAATATAAGCGGGATTTGACAAAACCTAGCGAATCAATAAAAACTGGCTACCGCGTATGGTGTGGCTCTTATCATAGATCTCTCATCATAAAATCATTGAACTTTTTCTAAATTAATTCTCTAATGTTTGACTTTAAAAGAAAAAAAATATTAGCATTAAGAAAGATAAAAAAATTTTTTATTTAAAAAAGTTAATAAATTAAAGTTTAAAAGTAACTAAATTAAGTTAAAAATTAATGCATTTAAAATTAACTAAGTTAAGTTAAAAGTTATTAACTTTTTAACTTTTTTTTTTAACTTTTAACGTTTTAACTGGTTACTACCTAACCCTGTTTGACAATTTCTACAATAGCGTTTAACATCGATTTTATACCTTTAGTCATTATAACTGTTTTGTGTTACGAAATATTCGTGATTAATGACAAAAGGTATAAAATCGATGGTAGATGCTTTTGTAGAAACTGCTTATGAAAGGTCCAAAACAGAGGCACGGTTCTTTGACAGAAAGTTATTAACTTATATAAATATTGTTATGAGTATTTGAATCTGCTTAACTAAATTGTACATACTTTATATTTCCCATACATATATATTCGAAAAAACAATCTCTAAATTTCGATTGGAAGCAGGGATTATTTGGAGCCCAATTATTTAAAAAATAGCTTATTTAAAAGATTAAAAAAATAGAAACACTAAGACGAGCGGCAAAATCCTGTTTGCACAAAAGCGCTCTATTATATGATATATAATAACGGCGGCTCGTTAACTATTGCGAGCATTGCAAAATGGTAGAGGACTTTTCGACTCAGTTTAGTCCGCTCTACCTGCTCAGGCCTATTCTGTAACTATCTTTACACGCCTACTGACAATTATTGGTGTCGTTGCGCAGATATTTTTTATAGTGAAAAAACTGCGCAACGACACCGACAACTATCGGTAGGCGTGTAAAACAGTTACAGGAGAGGGGCCCAAGATGGGTGGGGCCAAAATTTGGAGCTATCCTATACATATATTTATATATATTAATATATATAAATATAAAATATCACAATGGGGATATTTGACCTTGTTTCATACTTCAGTTACTGGCAAGTAACTGAAGTTCTTTGTCTTGCAATAATTGTAAAACTATAAACAATCAAATTTAGGTCCTACAGACTATACATATATGACATAAGCTTAGTCAAAAGTGATGGGAATGCACAGTGATTTGATACAGAATGAATATACGCTTGTCTTTATATCACGATTTATTTTTTGTTCCTTCCAGCGAGAAATCAGATTCCACCATGAGAAATTTGACATTCGATTCTCAGACGGTGGCGTCGTTCATACGATGCTAATTTCGTACGATTACAGATGTCAAGTCGTAATGTCTGGATCACGTCATCAACGTTGGAAGCACGACTTTTGGGCTCAAGACATTCGAAATTGTACGAACTCACTAAATTCCCACAAATGGCCGATGCGTTGAAGGCATGGCTGCGTACAAGACTAGGTGCGATCATGGATCTCACGCCGGAAACGTTTGGTCGGTACACGAGAGACGGCACACTACTAGCCCAGATTCTGCATAGCTATGATATAATCAATAGCAATCAACTAAGCACCATTCTTTCTACACGAGATCCTGCCTTGTCCAGGGTGAATCTGAGGACCTTACGAATCTGGCTAAAGCTCATCAATGTCACGCTGAGCGAGAAGTGTATTGAGGAGATCTCTAAAGTATCCTTGCAAAAGAAGTAGTACAATAAAGATTTAAAAAATTAAACAGGATAAGGAAAAAAATATTTAAACAATTTTTCAAATCAAAAACTTTTTAGTTTCAATTTCAAGTTTTCCAAAGTAAACATTATTATTCGGGAAAAACTATATTAAAAACAAGTATTATTTTTATTAAAAACAAATTTCTATTAATTTACATATTTTTTTATGAAGATACTAGACATTATGTCGTAAGGTGATTTGTATAAGAACAACACTTTAGGATAAAGGTGCTGCATCTCTCCAGCTGTTTTACAAGGTATATTTGAGCCTTGAAGGCAAGGACCGACTGCATTTTATTGCTCTTCAAAAAGAGCAAAAGTACATGCATAGTAGATTTGACGTCTCCAAAGTGTCTGAAGATCTAGCCTCTTATTTACCATCCGAACATCCTCTATCAGCACCATTGATCGAGGCAGCCGATACTGTCCTCTGGCACAGAAATAAGTTTTGGGCGATCACGAAAGCCTGTAGACGAGAACGAGAGCGATTTGAAGCCCTCATGGAGTATCCAGTGATAAAGCCGATCGAGCTCTTTGTTCCAAAAGAGTTGCCGGATAAAAAACAGAAAGAGAGCAAAATACTGGACGAATTCACTCGTAAACATCCGGTTTGTAAGACGAAGAAAAAATACCAAATTGAGTGTTGTCCTTCGAAAAGAATCTTGGATGTGTCCTGCATTGAGGATCCCACAGCTGCTGCGAAATATATCGACTTCCTGAAGAAGCGTAGCAAAAAAACGGCTAAATGTCACGAATTAAAACTGAAAACACAAACAACGATGATGGCAGAGGCTTGGGAACGATTACTGAGGAAACAGGACAGATCCTTTGACGAAGCTCTCGGAAGACGAGTGCTGGACCAGTCGCGTTATGAGAAACAGATGTTGAGGAAGCTGTGTGAGGTACGAGACTTAAGAAATAGAATTGTGGAGACTCGTAGAATAGTTGATACGATGTTGCTGAAGGCTAGAGAGAACGAACTGCGATTTGAGCAATATCGTCATGAAGAAACAATAAAGGAAGAAAGAGAAGATGTTGAAATGGAGACCTGTAGAATGCGCGAACTGCATCAGAGAATTCGCGAAGAAAAGGTGAGTAGGTAACAATATTTTATTATGAATCTCTTCTTTTAAGAAGAAGAAGAAGAAGAAAAATATAAGCAATGGTTACACAAAATAATTATAAAATATTGACAATATTAAGTGAAATTAAATAGGATAGAATAGAGAAATATTCAATTTGAAAATAGAAGAAAGCTAGAAAAATTGAGAAGGATTGTAATACGTAAGCAAAAGGCGACATCATATATATAAAATTTAATATTTTGAACATTGATAACAATATTTATAAGTTACATATAAGCTGAATTAAAAAACGCAGAGAGAGAGAGAGAGAGAGAGAGAGAGAGAGAGAGAGAGATTGTAATGAATTTAAATTGTCAATACATGAAAAATAATGATAATATATTTTCATAATGTATAAATAATTTTCATTATAAGGTGCTGATGTAAAATGTTTACATTTTAAAGATACGCAGGATGAAAGAAAAACATCAAGATATCTGTTTAGAAATTATGAACGATCTCGTGGATATCGCGATGAAAATTGCTGATTATCGTCAAGCAAATGGTAATCATATCCCAAATTCTATTTGGAATGAATGGAGAATGTTATTTTTGAAGAACCAACCAATATTCGAACATATGGATTACTTTGATGATATCGAAGAAGCAGAAAATATAGAAGAAATAGAAAATGAAAAAGATATGAAAATGAATGAAGATGAAGAGAAGAACGGTGCAAGAGGGAATAGCGCGATAAGTATAAGAAACGAAGAGGGAATACAGATTGGAAAAACATTAAAAGTTGAAGAAAATCAAAAGTTAGTTCAGCTGGAACGTCAGCAGTCTTTGACTGATGCAGACTTTGAGAGTTATCGGAATCTAGCTTCGCCCTGGGATCAATTTGTGCCGAAGAGAGAAAAGGAAGTTGAAGAAGTTTACAGATTAGGTTGTGTTGTGCTTGGTTACATCGTTCATCGCTTATTGGAGATCTTATATCCTTATTCGGCTAAAATAATGGATTGTCCAGTGCCTAGAGTTAAGGTCGCAGCCATTATTTTGGGTGTGACAAATGCAACCTTGCACAAACAGTTACAAGAGTTGCTGAAGAATACCGGAATTCGTTTGCTGACGATGGAAGATGCGATCAATCATTGTCTGGAGAGCTACAAGCGGGAAATGGTCGATATGGAGTACATCGATCTCAACATCATCTCGACGACGGCGAAAGACATCAAGAGATTGGAAGCTAAGAGCAAGGATGACTCAAGGGAGCGTCACCCAAAGAAGATTGAACGATCAACGAAGTCGACATCGTTTCACCAGAACGTGGCTGAGGAAAAACAAACGCAAACGCCTAGACAAATACCTTATGACGATATGGACCCGATTTTAAGCGATACCGCGTACATAGGTAGAAAAATTCAGGAGAATAGTTTAAATCATAATTATAATCCTTAAACTTCTTTTTGTTATAACATATCCGGCTTTCTTTTTTAAATGCTTTTCTTATCGCTTACACTTTTTTTATTAATAAAGATACATATTAATACATTTGTTTAGTTCTATTATGTTTCTTAATGTCTGACGTTTCCATTGAAAAAAAATTTACCATATAGCCATTTCTATGAAAGTTATAAGGAATTAAATTAGGTGGATATGCCATATCACAGTGTGTTGTTCTTGTAATGTGGTATTTACGAATTAATAGCATAAATAAAATAATTTTGTTATCAACTCTAAAGGCGTGATTTACAACATTATTGATGCCATTTTAGATAAATAACTTGTATAGATACAGTTTATTAAAGATAAAGTAGTATTGTATCGAGAATTAATTTTTTAATAATAGACATAATAGACATTAGAAATCTAATTGCCAAAGATGTACTTATTGTAGATCGCCGAATAGCAATGACTGCTAATTGATTGCTACCTGCGATATTTAGGTAAATGGACTTACGAGTTTCTCACGTTGGGTCAACCGATTTCGAACGAGTTGAATACGAAGATATTGATTGAGTACTTAAAAGGAATCGGAGATGTCGAGGGATGGGCATTAATAAATTATCCTAACACTTATGAACAGATGGCGATGTTGGAGAAAGCACTAACAGGACGTGAGATACCTTCCGATCCTGTCAAACTTACTGATGTCAACGTCGAAGACATCGATCCTTCATCAGTCAGGATTGTGTTCGAGGGTGAAGTTGACACATTCGCTATATGCAGGCGCGTTTAATGTCAAAATTAATTTGTGGTTTTATAAGTTATATTGATTCTGAAAAGATACTTAATATTACTGATATTATTTATATGTTCAGATTTATTTATTGCCTTTCCCCCCGTATTTAAAACGATGTTCGCGCGTATTTAGCATATAGTTCACATTCGTATACTATAAAATTTCAATCATAAAGAAAGCATTCTGAATACAGGTCATTGTTTCTAAATTTTATATAATAGCATATTGGAGAGTTAATTTGATTTCGCTTACTATTAGGTGTTAAACTTAATTCCTGCCGTTTTTCGTCTCCAAAATTGATTTGTTTCGAA